CGAAAATTTTTAATAAAAAATCGCGCGATTTTTTATTAAAAGTTTTCATTATTTATCGAAGTATTGATTTTTATGGAAAAAGCGACGCAGGCGAAAATTTTTAATAAAAAATCGCGCGATTTTTTATTAAAAATTTTCATTATTTATATATATATTAAACGAAAGAAGATACCGAAAAGCATTGAACAGTGCACACATCTCATAAGGAAAAGTGAATTATTACGAAATACTAATACAGTGGCAGCACTATAGCTATTTTGGAATCTCGCGTTTCGGCTCGCAAAGATTGTCAACTTCTTTTTAATAACAAAATAATCTATCTTAGGTTGATAAAACTATGTGTTTATTTAATAAATAAGTTAAATTATATATTTTAATAGTGTTTAAAAAGTGAGAACAGGTGATTTAATGAATCTTTGTCGGTGTAATTGCCCATAGAAAACAACGAAATTTAACAAAAGTTTTTTGTTCATAACTTTTAAATGGCTAATAATATTAGTTCCCCCCCTCCGGATTGTTATTAGGGGGGCCGAAACGCGTCGTTTGGTACCCCTCCCGACTTTTCCGCACCTTTTTTAGGGGTTGTTACCCAACCCTAGAGAATTACCCGATATTTTCAATTAGCTTTCTTAGAAAGATTTTGGGTATGCATTTTTTGGCCATTCAAGTGCAATATTCAAATGGCTAAAAACTAGCTTTTTTTAATTTTTTCTTGTCTCATTTGTTTCCATACAACAAATACACACTACATATTTATTTTTATATAGAATAAAACCGTTACAAAAAAATTTAAACAATCAACAGTAATTTTTAGTCATTTGCAACTTAGACCTTATTCGTAAATCCAACTTACGATGGATTCAGTAATATAGCCAAAAATGTATAATATTCCATTGTGTATGCGAGAAAAACTATCGACAATAGCACGAAAAACATCGATTGTAGGTAAAATTTTAAAACATCGATGCTACCGACAGTGCCATCGCTTGTTACCCAGCTCTATTTACTCGTATCATTTCATCCCTAATCGCGTTCGCCACAAATTGCTGATTTTTCACAATTGCAGGTTAAAATCTAGATATTAATATTAATATGTATTTTTGGGCTTTTCCAAACAATTAATAACTTTCATTGTGCTTAAGGTGTGTGCACAAATTATACTTTGGTCAATTTTGTTATTTTCATATACATACTTATATCGCAATAAACCTCTACAGTATAGAGGCACAAACAATTGGTGGGTATCTAGTATACAAGATGTAATTACCATTTGTGAATTTTCTAATAATTAAATTACAGATAATGGAGTCGATGGAAACATCAGCTTCGGGTAATGAATCTGAAACTCCGACGGATGCACCCTCTTTAATGGAGACTGATGAACCCAATGAGACTCCAGCGTCCGTGGGTGCATGCGCTGCGAATGAACCAGCTACCGTTAATACGGATGCTAATAATGAGAATACGGCCGGCACTGAACCCCGAGCTTCTCAACCCGAAGAGTCAAATGAAAATGGAAACGTTAACGAAAATACAAACATAAATGGACAACCTAGCGACCAGCATAATGGTGTTTCATCAAGCACCGACATGCCACCGCCGCTTCCGTCTTCAGCTGGTAATGCACCAACAGGAGAAAACGAAGCACCAACACCAACTACTGCAGCGCCACCCATAGATGAGGAAGATGCCAAATGGCATACGGTGGGAATCTACACTGGACTTAACGCAACGGTATCATCGTTCATAGACAATACCATTTGGTCATCTTCCGGTTTGAAACTGACGTCTAAAAACTTGCCAGATCTTTCAACAATTCAACGCGTTTGTCTTGAGCCAGGCACTGCTTACCGTTTCCGCTTGCGCGCCATAAACACTGTCGGCACCAGTGATTGGAGTGAGATATCAAGTTT